AAAAATTTTAAAAAAAAAAAAAAAAAAAAAAAAAAGAACCGACAGACTTTCATTCTAACGTTTATTTTGACCACCAGGAGGCCCCACACAGCCAGCTTCGTCCTGTTGGGAGTCCTCAAAGGTGGAGCCCGTATTCTGTGGGGTTCCAACCCTCCAGCAGGCGTTAAACTTGGCCCTCGGCTTGCCAGGGATGATTTAGTTAGGTGATTGATGCCAGTCCCGGTGCTCAGAGGTGTTCCTGGAAGAGGTGTGTGCAATGGTGCCTCCTTCCCTTTTGCTCCCGGAGCAGAGCAAGCGGGGTCTGCACTGGGGAGGCCACAGGTTCTATTCCCCCCCCACCCCGTTCCTCCAGCAGAGAAAAGCACCTGACTGCCCCACAGCTGCCAGCTCCAACCTTCCCCTGAGCTCTCCTCCCCCTTCCTGAGACTCTTATCTACTGGGTTGGTGGGGAAGAGTCTTTAGGTGGGGGGAGGCTGGGGGGGGGCAGGAGGGGCAGGCAGCATCAGCACGGGCTTTTTTTACACCCTGCCCTGTTGGGGTCCCCCTGAGCAGCTGCTGCCCATCCACAAAGCAGTCCTCCGGGAAAGGGCAACCCCGCCAGAGACCGAGGAGGGGCACGGGCAGCCCAGGTGGGCACAGGGCTGTGCATTCGGATGGGGACCGAAGGGGACGGTGGTGGCTGCTTCCAGGAGTTCCCCAGCCTGGTTGGGGGCTGAAGGCCGGGCACCCCCGCCCTTTTGCTGCCTCTCCCCACGTGGCTCCATCCCCCCGTGGGTCTGGTGCTCCTAGAAAGACAGGCGGCAGGCAACATTTTGGGGGGCTCGCCCAAGAGAAAGCCCAGCCAAGGAAACGGGGGGGGGGTTCTCTGGCAACCCCAGGAGACTCGGCAGGGTTGAAATCCAGCCGCTTAGCTGGCGGTCTGCAGAGAGGCCTGAGCCAGCCTGGTTAAGTCCGCGGTGGGGCCGGAGCGCCACTTTTCAGCCCACCGCCCCGTGCCCGCGGCTTCGGTGAATCGAGCGCTTTCCGCCTGACCATCTGTCCCGAAAAAGGGGGTTTCACCTCCGCTCGCCCTCCCGCTACCGGGTCCCCAGGCTGGCGGAGACCTCGCCTGCCGCTGCGGTGGAGAGCCTGGACGTGGCCCCGCAAGCAGGGGTCGCGGGCCGCGGCGGATCGGTCGCCTTCCTCCTGCAGCCCGAAGCGGCGCGACCTGTCGGGAGACGAGGAGGCTCCGGGAAGCGCGAGGGCGGGTCGGCCCCACCCGTCCGTCTGCTCCTTGGTCGCCCGCCCTCGCCCGGCGCATCCGAGGGGGAGCCGCGAAGGCTCTTCAGGACCGCCTGGGCTCCCCGGCCCCTCACGCTCCCCCGCGCCGCCAACCGGCCCGCTGGTGCGCACACGAGCCCCGGAAGGCCGGTCCGGTCCTACGAGCCCTTCGCGGCTCCCCCTCCGGAGGGGAAGAAATATTGGCCGAAGGGGGGGGTGGAGGGCGGGCTGGGCGCTCCTTCCTCTGCCCCATTTGGACAAACGCCCCTTGCTGGAGAAGCCCCGGCGCCCTTTGGCTCCGGAGAAGAAGCGCCGCGATTGGCAAGCGGCTGGGTGGGCCGGCCAGTCCGCCCGACTTCTGCTGGGGAGCGCTGGGGGGTCCGGGGAGCCCAGCAAGCCAGAGGCCGGCCGGGCTTGGGGGAGGGTAAGCCTTAACCTTTGCGTGGGGGCAGCAAGAGGATTCCACGGAGGCCACCGAGGGCTCTGGTTGGGGGCTGGAGCAGGGCACCAAATTAATCGCTGACGCCCCCCACCCCACCCCACCCCACGCCTGCCATTCCCCTCCCCTGCTGCTCTCCGGCTTTCTCAGCCCGGGACAGGAGGCGGCACCTGCACTTCCGGGCGCTGCCCAGGGGATTTAGCGGGAGGCGAGGGTGGGGGGGGGGAGGCAACTGCAGGCGCAGAACAGAACTCCTGAGCTGGGGGCTCCCCGAGAGAGGAGAGAGGAGAGCTGGGCTCTGAGCCTGAGAGAGAGAGAGGGAGAGAAAGCTGGCCAACTGAGAGGCTGAGGCAGTGGGGTGGGGGGACCCCTCCCAGGCACAGACCTGCCTGGCCACCTGCTCAGTGTGTTCCCTGATCCCATAGGATAGCTGCAGAAGGCCCGCCTTTTAACAGGTAAATCATTCTGTAATTATGTGGTTTTTTCCTAATTCAAATGCAATTAGAGTGAAGATTGCTCATTATAACGAATGCCAAGGTGTCTGGGCAAAGGAAGCCAAGTTGGTTTTGGTGGAGCAGAACAATAAGGCTTATTGGGGGGGGGGGAGGTGGCTGGGAGAGATGCAGAAGGCAGCGGAAGTCTGGCCTTCCTGGGACCCTGGACAGGGAAAGGGGTCCTGATTCTCCTTTGAGTTTCAGGCTGTGGCGGAGTGGGGGGTGGGGGGGTGGGGAGAAAGAAGTAAAAAGGGAACGGAGGCGAAAGGAGGCAGCGCAGGCAGCAGGCACCAACCCACCCATGGGCAGGGCACCCTCAGTAGGTAAGGATGGGGTTTTTCAATGTTTCCTCCTTTCCAATCAGCCCCGCCCCCCCTCCTGTGAACCCCAGTCCACCAGGGAGCCTGTGGTGCCGTTTTATGGCTGAGGTTGCACAAATGCTGCACTGATAAAGGATTTGGGTTGTTAAGTGGGTCATCGTAGCCCGTTACACGAAACATTTGTTGTTCGTGGTGTGGCTTTTTTTGTTGTAACGGGCATCACGCATTGGTGTATGGCTAATCCAGGTTTGAGTTTAGCTTGTCCTGTGAAATGGCGAATATATCTGGCAGACTCCACAAGGATTATTATTTCGCATTCCGGTGATTTAATCAGTAAATCTATGGTGTTTTAACTTTCATAAAAATGAAAATGCTACTTTATCATTTTTAAATATTTATCATCACCGAAGATAAAGTCTAAAGACCCGGCTGCTTGCAATCCAGAGCATCGCCTTGCGCCTGTGGATGGAGCGTGGACGGAGGATGTGCTGAGCGCAACACAGGCCGGGGAGGGGGGAGGGGGGAGGGGGGGCTTCCTGAACCCTGGACTGAGCAGGTGGGGGGGCAGTCTCGGAACCAGCAGGACAGAAGCGACAACTTGGGCTTGATTCAGCCTCAACATCGCAAGTGCACAAGGTGGCAACTCTCTGGACAAGACGGCGAGTCCGGCAGGCCTCTGGGCGCCCCCATGTGGCTCTGTCCAGCCAGCCAGATCAAGGCGCGGCCACCGCTGAAGGGCCGGGTGACCGACCAGAGGGTATGAAGGGGGGGAGGCTGTCCAAGGAACAAAACTCCCCTCCCTCCTGGGGGGGGGCGGGGAGATTCCAGCACCGGTCATAAAGGGATGGATCCAGCAGCAGCTTGAAAGCAAGGCAGGAAGTGCAGGCCACAATTCAGCCCAAAATTTCTGTTGCTAAGTGAGACATTCGTTAAGCGAGTTTTGCCCCATTTTACGACCTTTCATGCCACACTTGTTAAGTGAATCTCTGCAGTTGTTAACAACTTGGTTGTTAAGTGAATCTGACTTCCCCATTGACTTTACTTGTAAGAAAGTCGCCAGATGTGATCATGTGACCCCGGGACTCTGCGACCGTCGTAAATATGGATTGCTTGCTGAGCACCTGAATTTTGATCACGTGACCACAGGGAGGCTGCAACGGTTGTAAGTGTGAAAAACAGTCATAAGTCATTTTTTTCCATGCCCTTGTAACTTTGAATGGTCACTAAATGAACTGTTGTAGGACTAGCAGCCTGAAATAGGCATTCCTGGACGGATTGACCACCTCGGTGGACGGATAGATAGATAGGTAGGTAGGTAGGTAGGTAGGTAGGTAGATGATAGGTGATGATAGATAGATAGATAGATAGGTGATAAGTAGGTAAGTAGGTAGGTAGGTAGGTAGATAGATAGATAGATAGATGGTAGGTAGGTAGGTAGGTAGATGATAGATAGATGATAGATAATGATAGGTAGATAGATGATAGATAGATGATAGATAATGATAGATAGATAGGTAGGTAGGTAGGTAGGTGGGAGGATGGATGGATGGATGGATGGATGATAGGTAGGTAGGTAGGTAGGTAGGTGGGTGGATGGATGGATGGATGGATGGATGGTAGGTAGGTAGGTAGGTAGATAGGTAGGTGGGTGGATGGATGGATGGATGGAAGGTAGGTAGGTAGGTAGGTAGGTGGGTGGATGGATGGATGGATGGATGATAGGTAGGTAGGTAGGTAGGTAGGTGGGTGGATGGATGGATGGATGGATGGATGGATGATAGGTAGGTAGATAGATAGATAGATAGATAGATAGATAGATAGATAGATAGATAGATAGATGATAGGTAGGTAGGTAGGTAGGTAGATGATAGATAGATGATAGATAATGATAGATAGGTAGGTAGGTAGATAGATGATAGATAGATGATAGATAATGATAGGTAGGTAGGTAGGTAGGTGGGTGGGTGGATGGATGGATGGATGGATGGATGGATGATAGGTAGGTAGGTAGGTAGGTAGGTAGGTGGGTGGGTGGGTGGATGGATGGATGGATGGATGGATGGATGATAGGTAGGTAGGTAGGTGGGTGGGTGGATGGATGGATGATAGGTAGGTAGGTAGGTAGGTAGATAGATAGATAGATAGATAGATAATGATAGATAGATAGGTAGGTAGATAGATGATAGATAGATGATAGATAATGATAGATAGGTAGGTAGGTAGGTAGGTGGGTGGATGGATGGATGGATGGATGGATGATAGGTAGGTAGGTAGGTAGGTAGGTGGGTGGGTGGGTGGATGGATGGATGGATGGATGGATGGATGGTAGGTAGGTAGGTAGGTGGGTGGATGGATGGATGGATGGATGGTAGGTAGGTAGGTAGGTAGGTAGGTAGGTAGGTAGATAGATAGATAGATAGATAGATAGATAGATAGATAGATAGATAGATAATGTCAACGCTGCTAACCTCAGATGTTCTTGCTTTGACAACAGATGGAAATGCAGCCGTTTTCTCTATTGCTTATAGACTCAGTGGCTGCTGGGAGGGGGAAGAGGGATGAGAGCCCAGCTAGTCATAACAATCACAACTCAGCCGTGAGGGCGCTTCAAGTTAATTGGGGAAAGTTATTTATGACTGTTTATTGGAGGAGGGAATTGCACTTTGTTACTTTGTAACCAGGGGAGGGGAAATTAGTTTCTGGTTTCAACTATGTAGTGTAGAGACACTTTGTTTCTCGAATAAAAGATTCTTTAAGGTAAACAATGCCTCGAAGTTCTTTTGAAGAGTTTCATCTGTCGGAAACCATGACAGACAGACAGACAGACAGACAGACAGACAGACAGACAGACAGATAGATAACCATTGTCTCTTTTTACTGTGGGCATATATTCAAACCACCTCAGCTGACTCAAACATCCTACTCAGAGAGCGCTCAATGATGGTCCCTCCTGAAATGGGGGAGGGGCACCAAATGGGGGAGCCTCAAGGTCTTCCATACTTTATTAATGGCTGGGGAAACCCGTAAGGAGAACACTTCTCAAATCTGTAGATTACAGAACGAGATTGGATGGCTAATACTCTAGAAGAAGAAAAAATAAAATTTCTTGATAGGATTGGGTCTGGCTGGGGAGAATTGGGCTGAAGCTAGCAAAATCGAATTTAATACAGACAAATGCCACCTTTTTCCATTCTAGGGAACAAAACTCCAAGGAAAGCCCGTTTGGGGGGGAGCTGAGACACCCATTTTGACTAAGAAGAAAACCTTGGAAGGGTAACTGAGTGAACACTGAAGAGAAGGCAGCAAAGGAGCAGCGCGATGTGGCTGCAGACAAGGCAAACACAGTTTTAGACTACAGAAACAACATTTGCAAGAGGCGACTGTCCCACTGCTGTGCTTTGGTTAGACCGCACCTCGGGTGCTGCGTCCAACCCTGGGCACGATCCTCAAGAAGGACTCAGGGAAACTGGGAAAGGTCACAGGAAGGCAACGCTGATGATCAGGGACAAGATGCTGGGGGGGGGGGAAGAGGAGGAGGAGGAAAAGAACTGAGCTTGATTGACTTTGAATAGAGATGCCAAATACCCGAAAGTCTGTCAGATAGAAAGACCAGGATCCGTCCTTTAGTTCCAAATGGGGTGCGTGGAACAATGAGATTAAGGCCTTCAATAGAGGCTTCTGCCCAGATGTTGGC